CTTTTTCTTCCTCTTCCTCTTCTTAAAGGATACCTTTCAGCATTTCATATAATCCTGGTTTGGTGGTGATGAACTCCTTTAGCTTTTCCTTATCTGTGAAGCTCTTTATCTGACCTTCAATTCTGAATGATAGCTTTGCTGGATAAAGTAATCTTGGTTGTAGGTTCTTGGTATTCATCACTTTGAATATTTCTTGCCACTCCCTTCTGGCCTGCAAAGTTTCTGTTGAGAAATCAGCTGACAGTCGTATGGGTATTCCCTTGTAGGTAACTGAGTTTCTTTCTCTTGCTGTTTTTAAGATTCTCTCTTTATCTTTTGCTCTTGGCATTTTAATTATGATGTGTCTTGGTGTGGTCCTCTTTGGATTCCTTTTGTTTGGGGTTCTCCGCGCTTCTTGGACCTGTAAGTCCATTTCTTTCACCAGGTGGGGGAAGTTTTCTGTCATTATTTCTTCAAATAGGTTTTCAATATCTTGCTCTCTCTCATCTTCTGGCACCCCTATAATTCTGATGTTGGTACGCTTGAAGCTGTCCCAGAGGCTCCTTACACTATGCTCGCATTTTTGGATTCTTTTTTCATTTTGCTTTTCCAGTTGGGTGTTTTTTGCTTCCTCGCATTTCAAATCATTGACTTGATTCTTGCGCTCCTCTGGTCTGCTGTCGGGAATCTGTATAATATTCGTTATTTCAGTCCGTGTATGCTTAATTTCTAGTTGGTTCCCCAATATAAGATCGAGGGTCTTACTAGTTTTCTTGTAGATCTCATTAAGTTTATCGGCGGCTTCTAAACAGTTCTTGAGAGACCTTAAAAGTGTGGTTCTGAACTCTATATCTTCCATTGACAATTTTGTCCTGTTTCTTTGTCTCCGCATTTTGTTATGCTTCCTTGGTGCACCCCCTAGTGGTCTTTGTTCGCAGTCTTATAGTTAAATCTTGATTGTTGTAGCTAATTCCAGGGAGGGTTTGACCTCCAGGCCAAGTGGCTATGAGAATCAGCTGTGTCAGCAGTGAGAGAACTTCTGTCCTCTAGGGAGGTGCTAATCTAGCCTTTGCCTGAGGCTATCCGGCAAAAGCCTCTGTGCAGGGCTTGGGCGGGGCGGGTCGCACAGGATCAACAGGGTGGGCCGGAGAGAGCAGTTATGGCGGCTCTCAGTCCTGTCCCCAGGGGCTCTGCCTCTCTGAGTCCCAGCACCCGCTGCAAAGCTCAGAGAGAAAGCTGCACTCGCTCTGACCGAAGCCAGACAGTCCCGCTTCTCCCGTTTGAGTCTGGGTCCCTAAAGACTCGCCCGGATCTGGAGCTCAGAGTCTGCGACTCCCTCCCGATTGAAAACGCCAACCGCGCCCTCCGCCGCCAGCCCGCTCCGCGCACTCCGCACCTCAGAATTTGACTTCAGCACTGCGCCTCCTCTGAGTGTCTGTATGCGTTTCTCTTTCCTCCTAGTTGTAGGACTTCCACTCAGCCAGCGTACCTGTGGTTCTGGGTGATGTCCCTTCTGTTTTTTGGTTTCACTTTTGAAGTAGTTGTTCAAAGCAGCAAACTCCGGCGTTAACCTATGCCGCCATCTTGGTTCTCCTGGTTACCTTAATCGTAACAGAATTTTTCTCATCCTGTTCTTCGCTCTAAAAGCTATGATCAGCCGAAGCTAAGTAATTAACTGCAGTACTAAGTGAAATAATCTCAGGAATATAATCTGCTACTTGTTGGTCTCAACCTAACCCACTCCTTTTTTAAAAATTTCACTCCTTTTCTTAACGTACATTTGAACTGAACAGAGTAAGTTTTGGATAAAATTCTAACAATATGTATATGATTTTAGCATTTTTATCTTAACAATTTTTTTCCCTTTAGAATGGCTAAGAATCTCCAACTGAATAATAGTTTGACACTTTCCCATGATCCTTAGTCTTCAGCATTCCTCTTCTTCCTGTGCCCCAGGTAAGGGCACCTATGATTTCTGAGGGACACTCCTCTTCCCAAATGAGCAGGCCACGACTACACCCTACTGGACATCGTTACAAGTCTTCTTGATGGAAGAAAGGGTGCAAGACAGGATCAAGGATCAAAGGGCAAGGGGTGTGTGTGTGTGAAATCCCCCCAAAAGGATCACAGAAAGTATATAGTATAGGAGGTGTTACATCTGGGTTCCCATTTTTCTTCTGTATGACTTCATCCTTCCCTTGTAGTTCCTCTTTCAAAGTAGCTGGACAAACTGTGGCCAGATAAGCATGTCCGAAGGAGAAACTTGGGGGAAATCAAAGCCTTCACTGAACGAGCCACAGCCAATCACACATCACGTGATTATCAGGCCCTGACACACACAAAGGCCATACAGAATAATGTAAATGAGAGAAAACATCAGATTCTTGTTCAGAAACCTGAATTTAAGTCCTGGTATGCTGCATGAATTTCTTGTAACACATGACCTAATTTTCCTGGGGCTCACTTTTTTTTTTTTATCTATGAACAGAAATAATACCACAATGATCTGCCTATTTCATAGAGTTGCTGTGAAAATTATCAGAAAAATATTACACATTGGGGCAAGTAACTTTTCAAATCACTATAATGTTGTAGATAAAGTTCTGCCTCTCTCAAGTTACTATACTGAAATGAACATGATTGAGGTGGGTTTTTACAGTGGTTTTTTAGCCACTATCCTAAATAAACATTGTATATTCACCTAATCGAAAGTTTATATAGTCCAATGGCAACATACAATTATTCACATACAAGGCTAATGCTATTCATTCACTATCAACAAAATGTGTATAAAATCTTAGTTTCAGTGGTATGCTAATAATCTACATTTTTCCATCTAATACCCTATCTATGTGCAGTGTCGTTTTTTTAAAAAGCATGTAGCTTGATATTTGAAGGACCCAAGTATGAATCCTGCAGGTTATCCTAAGTGTAGGCTTTGGGCAAGTCTGAGCTAAAATATCCTCAGATGTAAATTAGGATTAAGATGATCATAATCATGCCTGCATTAAAATTAATCTGGTGCCTAGCACACCATGGTTGCTCACGATGGTATGACGACTGGCAATCTGACTGCCTTCCCATTCTCTCATATCTTTCGATTTTTTAGGAATAGTTAAATCACATCATTAAATGTGGGTGTTTGGCAAAAAGTCTCTCAGCCAAGAAGTACAATGAAAGGGATTCCCTAAAATCATTTCTAGATCCTGAGCGTAAGATCAAATCTAAAGAGTTTAAAGTCCATCCTGCCTTCAGTTAGTCCTTTCTCACACACGTGTAGTCAAATCATTTAAAGCCGAAGCTACTGCTGCCTTCACACCGGGACATGTGGGACGGAGATGGCTATTTGCTAACCGCCTCTGCAGAAGCAGCCACTGCCCTGAGAGGCTGCTCTCTCCCTCCAGGAGGACAAGGTGAACAGTAAAGTAGGAGAGGAGAGGGCTGAGCCTAAATTAACCGCGGAAGGTCTTAGACATCCTCTTCCTCAAGGCTTCACCTGAAGCTTATGCCTCAACAATATACTCGGTCAGTCTTAAAGAGCTGTATTAATATCCCCTCAAGCTAGTGCCTGTCCTGCTCTAGGGTTCATGATACACTCACATTTAATCCACCACAAAGTCATTTAAAAATCTATCAATGAAAAGCTGATTAACAACCAAGGTTAAGGTTGAATCAAGCCCCCTTTTTTTCTTGCAGTTTAATATTAAGCAACTGTTCATTTTTTTTTTTTTTGAGACAACATATTGAGACGTGCCTTCACCCAGCAATGAAGCCCCAATACGTAAATCACTTCCCACTGTAGTTCCCTCAGCAAAATCCCCAGGTTTAGAACTTCCTTAGCTGCCCATGCTGTCTGAGAGTCATCCACATGGATTATCAAAATAGATGGTCTGACCCACACAAAGAAGGACCAGGAAGAGTCAGCGTGTTCCTACAAACACCTACCGGTGTGATGATCTCCTAAGATAAGCCCTCGGCACTTACAAAATCAGACAGAGATGGATGAAGGAGGGTGGCGCAGGGTGGCCTGGAGTGAACCTGGATACAAAGGAAATATTAAGACCTGGGAAGGAAAATGCAGAAGGACTGCAAGAGGTTCTTAAGGATGGCTCCATTGTTTACCAAACCGAGGAGGCAGGCGGGGTCAGTGGGTAGGAACTGAGGAATCTGCGGGGGGGAAACTGCAATAGTAAAGAGCAAACAAATGTCACCGAACTGAGATGTTGGGATGGGCCCTCACTCCTGCTCGATTCCATATGTGGGCTGTTTTTGTTTTTGTTTGTTTGTTTTTTCCCCCAGGAAGCTACAAAACAGTTCTTTTTCAACCAAGGGCTCAACAAAGCACATAAAGGAAACCTGTGCTAAAAATGTAACCTACCTACACCGAGAGGTCTGGAAACGGAAACACTGCTTTCCCCCCTTATGTCGTGGGATTCAAAACAGGAGGGACACGGGGAGGGGGAGGGGGAGAAGGGGGAGAGGGAGGGGAGCAGCCTAACTCTGAGTGAGGAGTCTGACCGCACGCTCATTTTACATGGATCTTTTTGTGCAGATTCCTAACTCAGCGCCGCGTGCCGCCCTGCAGGTCGGTATCTGACGAGTGGCTGGTTCCAAAACCAGAGAATGGAGGAGCGAATGCATGCACTTGCCCGGAGCAGTACTTTAATTCCCGCCCCCCCTCCCTCCCCACCCCAATGGGCGGCTAACACTCCAATGAGGTTGGAACTAACCGTGCATTGCGATGCAAGAGGGAGAGAAGGCAGAAGTTAAAGGGGCGAGCCTACCTTCAGCCAGAAAACTATGCAACTGGACGGAAGTTCGCCAACGGGCAGAAGGTGGAAAACCGGGGGTGGGTGGGGGGGGCGGGACACACGAAAGAAAGGGGCTCCCTAGGTCAACACCTACAGACCGGCCTCCAGCCTTCCTCTTATCGGGGTTCTGCCCCCAGGAGATCCTTTCCGATGGAGAGACTCCATGCCCCTCGCGGACGCGGCCCAGGGGCGAGGCCGGCGCACACTTACTTTCGTCCGCCCATTGATTTTGTAGTTGCCCAGCTTCCCGTTACAGTGGCGGATCAGGTCGTCCATGCGGCTCATGAGCAGCCCGATGGTCTCGCAGCCGGGCTCCTTGCCCTCGATCCAGGTGATCTGGTCGCCCCGGATGTCCTTGGACGAGTCGCTCTTCTGGCTGACCAGCTGGCCGTCCGTGAACTTGCCCGTGTCGTGCAGGGCGCGCACCTCCTCGCCCACCTGCTGCCCGGTCTCCTTGCCCAGGAAGTCGTCCACCACGCAGATGCCGTGCTTGTTCATGCAGGGCACGATGTACTCGAGCGCCAGCTTCTGCGCGGGCAGCGGCTTCGTCTGCCCGTTGGGCCGCAGGCCGCCCGCCTGGCTCAGCCCCTCGCCCGGCGTGTTGCTCGGCGGGTACAGGTTCGCCTTCTCCTGCAGCAGCGACGCGCGGACCAGCGGCTCCTCTTTCGCCGACTCCGCGTCGGCCGCCGCCGCCGCCGCCCGGCCCTGGCCCTGGCCGCCCGGCGCCGCGCGAGGCGGGGACGCGGCCGCCGCGGGCTGGGCCTTCGCCTTGGCCGCGTCCCCGGCGGCGGCGGCGCTGTTCCTGCGCGGCGCCGTCTTCCTGGCCCGCCGGGCCCCAGCGGCCCTGGGCGGCGGCGCGGCGGGGGCCGGCGCGGGGCCGGGGGGCGGGAGCGGGGCGGCCGCGGGGCCGGGGCCGGGGCCCGGGGCGCCCTCGCCGCTCTGGCACACGAGCTTGTGCTTCTTCCAGTCCTGGCGCTGGTGCTCTTTGCTGCAGTAGAAGGAGCTGCGGCAGCGGCTGCAGCGCAGCAGGTTCTCCATCTTCCCGCACAGCTCGCAGTACTGCCGGTCTCGCTCGCTCTGGCTCAGCCCGCCGGGCCCGCCGCTGTCATTGGCCATGGCGGCGGCGGCGGCGGCCGAGCTGGAGGGGTGGCGGCCGGACGGCCTCGCCCGAGGCCGGAGAGCGGGCGGAGCGGCAGGGCCCGTCACTGCGCCATGCACCCGCCGCCCCTCGCCTCGGGCAGGCCGGCTCCCCGCCCTCGGCCCGGCTGCTTCCTCGTCCTCGGGTCGGAACCTCGGAGCGCCGGCTGCCGCGTCTCAGCGCCGCATCGCCCCGCGGGCGGGTGGGCGGAGGGAACGCGGCCTGCGCGGCGAACGGCGACCTCCGCTCGGGAGCGCGAGACCGGCCTCCTTGGCCGCCGCCGCCGCCTCCGCGTCCCGGGCGCCCGGCCGGCCTGTGGAGGAGCGCAGGGCGTGCGGGCGCCACTCGCTCTGCGCGCTCGGCACGTACACCACGGCCCCGCCGCGACCCGGGCGGGCGGCGCGCGAGGGCGGGGGCGGGGCGTGCAGGGGGCGGGGCTAGGGGCGGAGTCGCGCACACGCGCTGGGCCTGCGTGCGGCCCCGCGCAGGGCCACGCCCCTCGCCGGCTACGCCCCGGGCATGCGCACAGACACCGAGGGGCGGGGCGGGGCGTGGGAGGTTGGGGTCACTGCGCAGCTGCGGCGCCAGCGACCGGGACGGTCCACCTGCTGGGCCAGCGCTGGCCGGGAGGGCCGGTATGGCTGCGGTTTGTTTAACCCTCCGGTGTGTTGTAGGCGCTCTCCGGACGCGGTTGCACCGTGTCTGCCGCAGCCCTCGTCGTGCATCGGAGGAAACGGAAATCCAGAGAAGTCAAGTAACTCACTCGGCTGCTGTCGCGCTGGACTGGGACCGGCTCCAGGCAATCGACTGTCAGATTCCAAAGCTGTTTTTTTCCATGACACCAGCGCAGCCCCTGTCTCAGCAAGGTCTGAAATGACAGCAGACAAAAATGAGTATTGCTGCGGTGTTCATCCAAGCCCTCGTGCCGGGTTTGGCCATTTGAAGGTATTGACATTTGATTTTTTTTTTTTTTTTTTTTTTTTTTTTACCATTTTCAAACCCTGTAAAATCCTGCCAAGTTTGAAACCTCGCGAAAAAATATTTAGCTACCGACTTAAAAGTAATCATTGCTCATTCCAATATCCACGTTCAGGCACTTAAATTCAATCTGATGGAATCACGCCTGCGAGTTGGATTTGGGTGATAAATGAGCATGCATCACTACCTTCACGATTAAAAAATTTCTTTTAATCACTTAATAGAATCTGTGCTGTGTTGATGAGTGTCATTTTTTATTTTACAGAACACGCAAACGTTACCAACATAAGCCAAGGGTGTTTTTTCCCCGCCTGCCGTTTATTTTAAGAATAAAAAGGGCCATGATTTTGGATTTTCCAAAACTTGACTGAACACCAGCTGATGTGGGCAGTGCTGTGCTAGCCTTGCGTATCATGTAAATAGACCACAAATAACTTCAGCGGCCCATATGAGATGAGAGCCTGCCACACTTAAAACACAAGAGCTGAAAGGTGTAGGGCAAAGCCTGAAGAATATAAGAAATTATTATAGCCCGATTGGCGTGTCTCGGTGATTGAGTATTGATCTATGAACCAGGAGGTCTCGGTTCAATTCTGATCAGGGTACATGCCCTGGTTGCAAGCTCAATCCCCAGTGTGGGGCGTGCAGAAGGTAGCCAATCAATGACTCTCTCTCATCATTGATGTTTCTATCTCTCTCTCCTTGTCCCTTTGTCTCTGACATCAATTAAAAACAAAAAAAGAAATTATTATAAACCACTTTGTAGAATGTTTTTTTAAAAAATAGCCTGAATCCAAAAACCTAAAAGCTCTTCATCCACAATACAGAATTGCAAACTGTCATTAAAATCTGCTGTATAACCCAGTTTGGCTCAGTGGATAGAGCGTTAGCCTGGGAACCAAAGGGTCCTGGGTTCGATTCTGGTCAAGGGCAGGTGCCCAGGTTGAGGGCTAGATCCCCAGTAGGGGGTGTGCAGGAGTCAGCCAATCAATGATTCTCTCTCATGCTTGACATTTCTCTCTCTCCCTCTCCCTCTCTGAAATCAATAAAAATATGTTTTTTTAAAAAAAGCCTCACTTTTTAAAAAAATCTGCTGTATAAATAAACAGTATTCTAGGGATGCTACCCGGTGGAAGAGGATAGCAATTCCAATGAGCTTCGTCCCTGGGAGACTGAGATAAGTAAGATACTCACAGCTTCAAATTCCAGACCAAACTGAAATCCAACTTTTTGTAAAGAAAGGTTTACAAGTTTACAAGGTTGGATCCACCTCAGATGTGTATCCAACTTTCCCAGAGCTTTATTTAATACATGCCAGACTGTCCTTGTCACACAAATGAAGTGGTTATACTACAGGCACCCAGGAGGCATCCAGTCCAGTGTGGACATGTAAACAAAGAATGACAAACTAGCCCTAACCGGTTTGGCTCAGTGGATGGAGCGTCGGCCTGCGGACTGAAGGGTCCCAGGTTCGATTCCGGTCAAGGGCATGTACCTTAGTTGTGGGCACATCCCCAGTAAGGGGTGTGCAGGAGGCAGCTGATCGATGTTTCTCTCTCATCGATGTTTCTAACTCTCTATCCCTCTCCCTTCCTCTCTGTAAAAAATAAAATATATTAAAATAAAAAAAAGAATGACAACCTAGAGTTCGGAGGAAGTGCCCTATGAGAGGGATTGATAACAAAGAAAAAGGAATTGCTAGCTCTGCCCTTTGTACTAATCGAGATTCCAAGAAAATTAACCCAGAAATTATTGAAAGTTGCTTAAGGAAAGTCAACTTTTAAAACATTTTTGATACACATTAATTACATAGAGTATAATGCCAATATAAGTAAAATCTAACACTACTTGGGCCTTCTTTTTATAGTAATTATAAATGATTCTCAACTATTCTCAAGGGCAGGACTTTACTAGGGAATACTCATTCACAAACACTTGACTTTTCTAAGTTTAGTCATTGTAGGTATTAAAAGTAGCCCAAGGATTTCCTTAAAAATGACTCCTGAAGTCTAAGATGTGCAAACAAGTGTATTTACATCCCTTTGCTCTTTTCATGTATCTTCATTGATAGCTACTTAAAAGAATAAATGTCCATATCAACACCTTTTATTTTAAAAATTTAAAATAATATGTTTTGTTCATTTCAAAGAGAAAGGAAAGGAGAGAGAGAGAGACATCTATATGAGAGAGAAACATCCATTGGCCACGCCCCAGCCTGCAACCCAGGCATGTGCCCTGACTGGGAATGGAACTGGCAACATTTTGGGACGACACTCAACCAGCTGAGCCACACTGGCCAAGGCTCATATCAAAACGTTTATTAGCTTTTATTTTGTCCCAATTAAGTATACAAAATCACAGACAGAACGTGTGTGTCTTGAAAACAGTCCAATATGACACAACGTTTCATGAGTAGAACAGTCAAATATAAAATACCATTTCAAATAATGACAAAGATTCCTGATTTCAGAATTTTAGCTGATTCAGGCTTAGTAATCTGTGAACTAATTCAAAATGAGTGAGGTTTCACCAAACTATCTGCTGGCAATGCAACAGCCAATGACATTCACCAACAAGATTCTGAGCTCTACCAGTATCATAGCAGATGTCACTTCTGCAAGAGTTATACAGGATTCACTTACTTGGTGCTTAGGGTTGTGTTCCAATCTCTGTTCTTTTTAAAAATATATATATGTCTATTGATTTCAGAGAGGAAGAGAGAGAGAGAAACATCAATCATGAGAGAGAATCATGGATCAGCTGCCTCCTGCACGCCCCCTACTGGGGATCGAGCCCACAACCTGGGCGTGTGTCCTGACCAGGAATCAAACCGTGACCTCCTGGTTCATAGGTCGACGCTCAACCACTGAGCCCACGCTGGCCAGGCCCAGCCTCTGTTCCTAGCATTTTACAAATATTAACTCATTGAATCCTCATAACAACACTCTGAGCTGAGACTCCTATTAGTCCATTTACAGAAAACGAAGCAAGAGCAAGACAGCGAGTGTCCCTCCCATTTCAGTTATACGATCAGTAACACTAGGTTTGTTGCCTAATACACCGGGGAGAACAAAGGCTTATGTCTCCCCAAACCAGGAATTACTACAAAACTTTTCCTGCCAACAACCTAATAAATTGTTCTAGAAGCCAAAGGATGGGTTAAATTCAAGAGCTATCGTCTCCATATCACACCAACCGGGGCCAAAGCTGATTGAGCACTTACCAGTATTTGTCTTCCGTTTGCCCTTCCTGCTATGTTTAAAGTATAAAGCAGTAACCACTACTGACATATAGGGAATTTACTAAAAAGTGGAGGCAAAGCTGAGATCGATCGCAAAGAACAGAGTTAGAATGAGGAAATGAAGTTAGGAATGACCGTGTTGACTCTTGAAGAAAACCCAGTGAACAAAACTTACCTTAAAGGGACTACCAGTGGTTCTCAACCTTCTTCATGCCGCGACCCTTTAATACAGTTCCTCATGTTGTGGTGACCCCCAATTTCATTGTGACAAATTGAACATCATGAAAGCATAGTGATGAATCACAAAAACAATATGTCATTATATATGTGTTTTCCGATGGTCTTAGGCGATCCCTGTGAAAGGGTCGTTCGACCCCCAAAGGGGTCGCGACCCACAGGTTGAGAACCGCTGGACTAGGCCGATTTCTCCTTGAAAAATACTTTAAAAACTCATAAGAGAGTATCTGTTCTGCTCAGGAAATCAAACATCTGAGTGTTAATTAGTGACCCCTCGTCTCCTCGCCTGTGAAATCTCATCTTCACACGTTCATAGGGAACAGAAAAAGCACAAGTATAGGCATACCACCAAGATAAACAGGAAGATGAACTTTGAGTTCTGGGAAAAGCAGCTAAAAATGCGAGCCATTTTCTAACTATAGTGTTGGGACACGCACAAGTAGGTGTCGTCGGGAAATAGCACCTGCTCCTCTCCGTACTGGGGGTTCTGCCAGCTGCACACATGAGCTGTGTGCCTCCCCACGCATGGGAGCCAGCTTCACTGTCCAGTAAGCTCGCTTCCCTGTGCACACAGAATCATTAAATAGGCTTTCTCTGGATTCAGGGAAGTTTATCGCCCAACTTTTTGAGCTTGCAATTCAAAAATTACCCACCAGTCCAGTTAAAAATACATCATCTCATCTCAGGAAATATAACATAAAACTTTGCAACCATTTCTCATTGCAGTGAATTTTTAAAAAATAGCTTTTTATTGATTTCAGAGAGGAAGGGAGAGGGAGAGAGACATGGAAACATCAATGATGAGAGGGAATCATTGATGGGCTGCATCCCCCACATCTGCTATCGAGCCTGCAACCCAGGCATGTGCAGGGATGGGAAATCAAACAGTGAACTCCTGGTTCAACCCTTGAGCCACACCAGCCGGGCTACGGTGAGT